ATCTAAATATCTAATTATCTAATTAATCTAATTAATATCTTCGTAACACCTTCTAAATAACCTTAAAGTCGAAACTTATTTAAAAATAATAAAAGTTATTGATCAAAACTAAGAATCAGGGACGCAAAACTTAATTTAATTTCTCGTTTGAAAAATTTAATAAAACGTAACAAATTTATAATAAATTACTGCATTAACGAATTAACAATTCGTTTCTTATTTTAATCTTTCTGATTTACATTTTGCGGTTCTTAATATTAATTTATTCATGATATAACTATATTAATTATGCAATCAGTTACGTATTACTACATATTAATTATTATTAACTAATAAGTAATTTGACAATGTAACACACAAATACTATACACATATGTAATTCACACTGTGTAGAACCTACCTGTTATAAATACTTATATACGTCTGCATATATCATACTAAATTAAATGTTATCAAATCTGTATCAGAAATTATCAACTGAGTATTAAAAAATGATGAAAGATGCGTAATATAAGCTGTCAATAATACAAACGTTCAAATATATGATCACATGGAAAAAAACAAAAAAGCTGGGAAAAATCATTTAATTAGATTGTAGAGACAAACGAGTAAATAAACGTGTAGTAATGAAATTAAATTGATCGGAGTATATAAATACCTACAAAACATCAACAAAGGGAATTATGCAGGTTAACGATCTAACAATATAGGTTTGAATAACGCAATAACGTCCCGCGCTACAAGTTGACCGATCAACATATTAGAAAGATGGCACTAGTTACAAACGAAGAATTCCTCTAGAATTTGCGCGCGCAAATTTAATTTGACTAAGAAGAGTAAAAAATTTATTATTTAAAGTTTTAATTATTATTTAATTATTAAATATAAATTTTAATTATTAAAATTTAATTATTATTTAAAGTTTTATGTGTTATTTAAAGTTTTATTTAATTATTATTTAAAGTTTTATGTATATTTATAAATCATTTTATGATAAAAAAAAATTATATTAGACTACTATATATTGCATATGATTTTACAATATTTAAAAATCTTGATATTTGTATATAAATTTAATTTTATTTAATCGTTATAATAATCAAAAATTCAATAAAATCACTTTACTTTCGTGTTTATTATAAATTATAAATTATGTATAGATACGATTAGATGACTATAAATTTGAAATAAAAATATATTCTAGTAGGTATTTAAATTAACCAACATAATAAATATACCAACATAATAGTTTAATCATTAATCTTCTTATAGACGATTTGTATTAATTTTTTGTATAAAACTGTTATTTCTTACTTGATTTAAATTATTTCAAATTATTTACTTTACTATAGTTAACAATATGTATGTTGTGTATACAAATATTTAAAATTTAGAAAAATTTGTAATAATTTTTATAATTAATTTATTATAATATAATATACACTATATCTAATAATAAATCAACCGAGACATATAGTGGCTCGTTGGTCTAGGGGTATGATTCTCGCTTAGGGTGCGAGAGGTCCCGGGTTCAAATCCCGGACGAGCCCAGCTACTTCTTTTACTACACATTTTTATTGAAAATTATTATTTTATAATTATAGTCTCTAGTTTCATCTTAAAAGTTTACTTCATAAATAATACAAGATAATCATTGACGTAACAATTACATTTATTTTTCTAGATATGTGTTACTTGATAATAATTTTTACACACCTGAAAAATATTTACAGATAGATACAGTATACAGACTGTAACAGTAATAACACTCTTAAAATGTACCTCTTTTTATTTTTCCATTACTAAATTATTTATGTAATAGTTACAAAATGTGAGAATTAAGTGGTTTCCTACTCTTTGTTGTAATTTCTTGTGTTTGTAATTTATTTATCGACCCAACTTTCATTGGGTATTATAAAAAATTAATTCAAAGTTCGTTAAACGTTCCCCTCCACGGAAATCTTTAGTAAAAGGCGAAAGATTTATACGTGATTTGAAGGAAAACTAAACTAGTCGTATCTTCCTTACATTCTAATTTATAGTACGTCAAAATGATTCTCACAAGCGAGAAACGTCTCCCTCTGGCGTGCATTTTGTACATTAATCTTATATTATTCATCGAAACATTATAATTATTAATGTATAAATTTTTTAATTGAATTCTGTTATAAATTTTTGAAACAGTGTGTTATTAAGTTTTGCATAAAAGATATTTACGCTTGTGTAAAACATTTGATTCACATGCTAAAATTATTTTTATAGTAAAAAAATTTTTTTAATGAGATATTTTTTATCAGATTATTTTTTATATTGTTTTTAAATATTACATCTAGAATAACTAAACTGTTAAAGAAAGTATAAATTCAAAGGCACCGTGGCTTAGTTGGTTAAAGCGCCTGTCTAGTAAACAGGAGATCGAGGGTTCGAATCCCTCCGGAGCCTGCACCAAGAACAAAATCGTTCATGTGTTAAATATGTTCTCTACTTTTGAGGATTTTTTTTT